ATGGATTTCGCCGCTCCCGTGGATTCATAAGCAAAACCGTTGTCATTTAACAATTCAAGTTAAAAATCGAGGTAGATGGACACGACCCATTAGTGGCTCAGCGCCGATTACAAAGATCAACCTCTCGCTTCTTGTGATTGCTTTCACGTGCGCACCAGCGGTTACTAATTCGAGCTGTCCTAGCTGGCCAATCACCATCAAGGCAGACTCATAAATGACATCGCTAGAGTCGCTGTGACACTTCGGACGTCACCCTCCAACCTCTTCTCCACTCGTTTTGTACAGAATACACTCCTCCTCCCACCTGGGGTCCCAGTTTGCCTCTTTCAGTACGGCACCGGGCCTAAAAGTGAGCTCGCCTAGGGTCTTTCCTGCCAACCTAAGCCACTGCGATAACTCTGCTTCAGCTTCTTCCATTTCGAACCGTCTTCAGGCGCAGAATAAGAAATTGTAAAGCGCGATTAAGTCCGAAGGCTTAGGAAAACTCACACATACGCATGCTGAGACAACTTCGCATCGGAATATGGAGTGCATCATTACGAAATGGACCCCATCTGAGTTGACTTAACCATAATACATTCAGTGAAGCTTTTTAGTAGCAGCTGCTGCAATGTCTGCCTTCTTCAGCTTCCTGATGGCCGCGGCAAACCGGCCAACTGAAAGGCGCCCCGCCAAAGCACGGCGTTCCCTCAGACTTGACCTAGCAGCTGCTGTAGTGTCTATTTTCTTCCAGCATCTCAACGGCCAAAGTACGGCATTTCTCCAGACTTTAGCTTGTAATATACCGAGCGGGCCGGGGTTGTGGAGCCTGTTATACACCGAGTAACGCCGAATGCCGGGGATAAATCTGGGCTAAGTTAGAGCTGAACGGAACTGCCAAACTCATCAACACTTATCCAGGTGATAATGGAGAATAATATGAATGAGAGACATAACCATATAATAGGAAGGTTGCAAACAGAGGATTTACGGCGGTCGATGCTCTGTCTGGAGGGAAGGCAATGCTGACGTATCTACTAAATAACCGGTGTGGGATACAGTGCACTTTAGAGCTGTAGGTAAGCGTTTGAAAGCTGGAAGTCGTTAAAGTGGACACTTTGCT